TTTTTTTTTGCGTCAAAAAAATATTTTTTTTTAGCAAAAAAAAGACGAAAAGAGACAATCAAACCAGAATATTATAAAACTGCCTCAGGAAAATTAAGACTATTATAACGCATACTTGCACGTAAAGAATTTAATCATTTAATATATTGAATTCCTTTCAATCCAACTAAAGGATGTAGACCAGAGAATGAAAAGAAATTTATAACTTTTTGTATATCAGACTTAGAACTAACACCAAATTGGTTATAAAGTCCTTTTTCTGTTTCTATTTTTCTATTTGTATCAAACACTAGTTTAAAAGCTTCAAATAAATTCTTATGTATTCTTTGTTTTAACTGAAAACAACCGTCATTATTTGCTTTCACAAAAAATGAACCTTCGGACATTGCAAATCCCACGATTCAATTTCTAAAGAAAAGTAGTTTTGTATAATCCAAGGGTGTTTTTGGTAATTCAAAAGAAGCAGGAATATCTTTAGGGATTTTGTCAAAAGTTCTTATATCATTTTTTAAAATATACATAGCTAAATTAAACTGTTTTGATCTAGTTTCAGTTAAAAAGAATATATTTTTATATAAAAACAATGGAAACACAATCTCTTGTAAATCTGTTCTATTAATAACTAACTTACAAGTAGGACTTCTATTATCACGATAAATATTTAATTTTCCTACTTTTAGTACTGAATTTATGTATTCCAGAGTAGAAAGATCTTCTAAGTGTAATGATATAACAAGTTTCATAGTTATAAATCCTTTAGTTGTATTGGTTATTTGTATATACCCATCTCCATCAACTAGTCCGGCAAAAAAAGCCAAGAATGATGAAGGAATATTAAGGTATTCTTGGTTTTCTAGTCTAGAATTATTTTTTCCCTTCTTTAAAGCATTTTTGTGTACAGTACCTATTACAGGTAAACTACTTAAAATAATTGCTTCTGAATAAATTTCTGTGATTTCTTTTGACTCAACAATATCTTGTCCTACTCAAGGGATAGCACTCATAAGGTTAGTAATACAAAATTCACAATAAGATGGTTGCTTTTACTAATTTTTAATAGGAGAAAAATTTGATTTAGAGTAAGCTTTTATTCTTTTTATGCGTTTAGCGACTACTAAACCTTCTTTATTTTTTACAGGTTTACCATCATTTAAACGAGCAGTTATAGTATTATTACTTACATGGAGAAATTTAGCACATGAAATTCCATTAGTAAAATAATTAAAAGAATTATTTAAGAAATAAGCTTTTATAATGTAAGTAGATCGAATGTATTTTTTTTCCGAAATTATCATTGCTCTACCCTCAGAATCAATATGTATTAAAGGTTCTGCTTTAATTAAAAGATCTAATTCTGATTTAACGATTTCATCCAATATGAGAGGGTTTAAGTTTGTAGATAATCTATTATTATTCATACAATCTCCCAGTTTTATTATTAACTCTTTACCTTTTTCAGTTAAATGTTTACCCTCTAATAGTAAAAAAGCTATTGTTTTAAAATCTGAATAATCTTTAAATTTTTTAGTTCTAAATTCAAAACTGTCTAAGTAAGGAATTAATACATTATGAATAAAATCAATTTGGTAGATTTCTAATATAGAAATAGGCCTAAAATCACTTTTTACTTTTTTATCGGAAATATTAATTAGTTTAGTAGTACTACCTAACATATAAGAGTGTTCGTCTAATAAACTTAAAATAAATTCACGTATTTTTTCTAAAACTTGTCTATTTACCGAAGTAGTGACAAGTGAAACACGAACAGTCATATCTTGTTTATTTAAGTAAAATGACCCATCTCCTTCTAAAAAACCTACCAAATAATTACCTGTAATTCTTATTTTATGATTTGCAGGTAAAACAAAATTAACTCTATTAGAATTCATATTTTGTTTCAATTCAAGAATATTTGAGTATATTTGTAGTATACTTAATTCATTAGATTTACGATTTTTAAATAAGAAAAATGCTTTTTTAAAATCTAAATAATCCAAGTATTTAGTAGTATTTAATGGAAATTTTTCAAACAAAGGTATTAATATTGTTTCAATATCACTTAATTGAGATATTGAAAATACTAAAGTGTTTCTCTCAGTATTTAACCTACCGCAAGCTAAAACATCTTTTATACGTTCTAAAATTTTTCTATCGTCTATGTGTAAAGCAATTCTAAATACAAATTCAAAACCTCCTACTTCTCCTTTTTCATTTTTTCTAGTCCTTATTAAAAAATTAGATTCTGCTTCACAAAGGCCTATAAATCATTCTATAAAATTACTATCTATAGGTGATTTAGGTAATACTTTATGGACACCTTTTGATAAATCATCCATCTTATCGTTTTTATTCTCATCCTGTTTCCCTTCATAGGGAAAATGAGTTGAAAAATAGATTTGATAACACTCTGATAAAAAAGGTGCGATTAAAAAAGTAATACTTTAAACCTTTGATTTGCAACCCAGCATCTATTAAAAAATGGGAAGATACTGATAAATTTATCTAAAGGTGGAGGCGCGACTCTCCTATCGCTAACTTTCGTTAACGGATCGGACTATATCTTCATCTTTTTAACAATATAATTACTTTTATAAAACTTATTTAAATGCTTTTACTTTTATTAAAAAAATGTACCACGTATAGTCTCTGAAGAACCAAAAGTTGAATTCGTTATATACAGCTGCGCTATATTTAATATAGGTTCCTGCTGATTGTCTTTTAAGAGTTTCCAGCAATTAGTGGTATTTTACTACAGCTATTACTTCGCCTATTTAACTGTAGCCAAATCTTCAATTTACTTATTCTAGCCCCGAGGGGGCTGACCCTTTGGGAAGANCCCCGATGGGGCTCATCCCGACAGGGATAGTTTATTTAACCTCTTAGTGTTTAAATAAGTAAATCATGTACACCATACTTATCTTTATAAAGATAATTGTAATAAAATACAGTATAATGCCTTGTGTTTCAATATAAAACCTATATATACTGAAAAAAAGATTCCGACTGTACATTAAGCAGCATTTCAGCTACCCACCTGTGAACCAGTCTGTAGCGATATTTTATTATACCGACGGTCTTTATACTAAACAAATATATTTGACCGTTTTCACAAGCATTGCTGCAAAATCATATTGGGTCCTTTTATATTAAAAGGGGGACCTAATAAGTTTTAAATAAATATTGCCTTAAAAGATTCTGCAACTATATATAACTAATAAAAACATAACTAATAAAAATATAAACAAATAGGCTTTGCTTCTGTTTGTTTGTAATAAAAAAAACTAATACAAACTTAAACACCTTCAAATACAACATGGTCCCTTATTTTACCAATCATCCTATCCACCATCTCCAAAAACATGCATTATATCTAAGTCCGTCTTCAAAAGCTATATTTTCTATTTTTCCCTTACAAAGAAGATGAAACGTATCATAGAAAGGACAAATCGAAACAAGGGTACTTATCTGATTACGGTACAAAGTCCGGATATCTCCGATCTAATGAGTCAGATATAACACTCCACCTA